AGTATACAATGATTACAATCTTACTTCACTTAGTTATGACATCATTCTGTCTGTGTGTAACACATGAAATAACGAGCCCATTTACAGTAAATTATGTAAAATGTATATACAAATTATGATAAATACTGTGCTGCGGATTAAGGACATACGCAACATACCTTACCTACTGATAGATTTCAAAGATATTCCAAATTTAAACTTATAATATAATTACATGTTCATAGACAAAAAAATCAGCCTGCCTTACCAGAGGTTTTGAAAAGATATCGAATTTTGAATATTTTTGCATAATTCAAATAAAAATGTACAAAAATTATAAAATACAAATTCCAGATTTTAATTCATCAAAAATTGTTTTAGAAAAGGTGTACAAATCCATATATAGACATTAAAACTATTGCACACAGGTCCTTCATTTAGTGGAACTCTTCAACTCCAGGGAAGAACCCCAAAAAGTTCAAACTACGTTGCGTATGACCTTAAATAAATTTTTTACCTCAACCTTTGACTACTTGATCTAGAGATCAAAAGGGATCTGTTTTATTAGGTCATAGAGATTTATATGACTCAAACTTTTCAAAAGCTCAAAGTTTTTAAAGACATCGTCCGGAAACGAAAGTGTTACACACAGACAGAATGACAGACTTAAATTATTATCTCCCACTTCCTGGGAAGCTGTGGACAAATATAGCTATCAGTACACTATTAAAAGCTTTTATATGTATCATATATTTCAACACAAATTGTAAAAAGAAAAAATAAAAATGAAAGAAACTGGGAGTATAAGTCGATTTATATGCACACATCACGGTTGATAAAAAAATCAAGAAAAACATTTTTTTACAAAGTTTACTTTTTGTTTCATTTATGTACAGATGTATTGCTTTTTTCCATTTGCATACAAAATTGATATTACCTGCAAATTCTATTCTGATGAACACGACAAAATGCAACACACTCAATTTTCACAAAAACTGACACAAAATTGGATGCTTTAACTTCATTTCTTAAAAAGAGTGGGTCATCGTACAATTTCTTTCTTTCTTTTTTTTGGAGAGCGAATAATGAGGGCAATGGAAAGAATTTGAGATGTTTCTCTTTACACTCGCAAAAATCTGGTACAAAGATCCACTCTACATAAATAAGTTTATACTTATTAAAATTCATCGTGGTCTTAGAAATTCTAAGTCTAAATACACGTGCTAAATATGGAGAACTGTATGTTATTTAAATGGCCATACGTGACTGCGTGGAGTAGAGATTAGCGTGGAACTCTTTAAACAGAACGTTTACTGAGGAAAGTGTTCGAATTATGTTCTAATGTTTTGATTTTTTTTAAATCTTAGTTTTGGTATTGTTTTACTTTAAAATTCAGTTGCTGTAGGAATAAAAACATTTTTCAGTGAAAATATTAATAATATATACATTGTATCTATGAAATAACGAACCCATTAACAGTAAAATATGTAAAATGTATATACATATTATGATAAATATTGGAATACGCGAGTGTATTCCCGTTTAGACTTATTTTGACTGCAAATGCTTCTAAACCAAAGAATATCCACTATTATTTTATATAATATAAACAGTTTAATTATATATCTTCACAATACAGGTTAAACTCAATATGTAGATTGCAGAATAGAAGTCCTTTCCATGTTGGACATTATGTGGCAGAAAATGAAAGTCAGGTGTTTAGCTTGTTTACAATCTAGATAATATTTTGATAACTACTGTAAACATTTAAATGCCTAGGTAAATTGGGAAAATTAGGATATTTCCAATAACTGTACTTGCATAGCCGAAAATTGTGCATGGGCATTTGATTCACCTTATCCCCTCAGATTCTTTATGTATAGAAGGGAATGGCTAAACTGCAACCGCATACATGTATATAAAAAGATAGACTCAAAGATACATGTTAATCACAATCTGTCATCGTCTTTAGATATCAATTGATATACAAGGGCTTTTCGGAAAGTTCGAAGACTTCTATCTGTCATATAATTTATAATTTATAAATTTTGTAGACATATTTTAAGAATAAATTTGAATAGTTTGAATATGAAATTTTCAATATATCATAAGAACTTATTAAAATTTGAAACTGCTTTACTAGATGCAATTGATTAATATGTACAGATGTGGGTAATCATATCTCTGTAAAACGACACAAAACGAAGACAATTAATACGTTCATAATTAAAATCGTTGCTTCATTGTATAAACAAAAACTTGAACTTACACATGTACTACATGAATGTCACTAAAACAGTTAGTATTCAACTAAATGGCAAGTGGTAAATACAGTTTTTTTTAAAAATGTGTGTGTGACGCCAGCCAGCTAGATTTGTGTGAAATGTCAAGGTAAAGCATTTTGGAGAAATTCATTACGTCATGTTTTTGAAGTTGCAATGTTGTAAATGTGCTCAATGGAAAACAAATTATGTTAATTTTAGAATAATGCATTATAATTATGTGTTGATCATTGATATTGTCCTCAACTTTTCTGAACAGCCCTAGCTATTCTTATATTCAATTCTTCCAGCTGCTGTGTGTTTAAATTTAAATTTTGTGTACAAGTCTGTTTTAAATGTTTAAAATAAAGTTTAAAAATGTATTAAATAAAATTTGTTTAATTATGAAACAAAACACACAAAAAAAGATAATGTTTTTTTTTTTTTACATATTATTATGTGTTAATCATTGTTATTGTCCGAAATTTTTCTGAAAAGTTTTTAATCACTGATCTAATATGTCCATATTTTCCATGCATGGTCTGGAATAATTTTTTTGAATCACTGATCCAGTTGTGTTACTTTTTTCTTTATATGTCTGATCTCGGTTAAATCTTTGTATCTAATCACTGATCTAATACTGCTCATCCATATATTTTCACGCCTTGTCTTGATCCAGTCGTTCTCTAAGATACACCTTGAAATAGTGCATTGTTTTGATAAAAATTAAATTTAGAGAAAAAATTTAATCTTTTAAGGAAAGAAAATTTATTAGTTATGAAATATTTAAACTTTCAAAACTTATTGATGTTTAAAAACATTAAGTACAAACCTGGTTCAGAAGTACAGGTAGATAAAATGCTCACACAGGTTTTTTGAGGTGTGTCGTCTGAGGCTGCTGAATGCAATCCTTTGATTCTGGCAATCTAAATTTTAAACGAGCTGAATTTTTATTCAAAACTGAAGCAAATTAAGTACCAGATGTTTTTACTTGAAAAATATGGAAATAACGAACAGTTTTCAAGCTCAAAGTCCATTAAATAATACAAAATAGGAGCAGAGCAGACACAGACCTCTATTACATCAGAGTTGGGATCAGGTGCCATGGAGGAGTGAGCATCCCCTGCCGACCGTCCCACCCGCCGTGTGCTCCTTGTCATGATTGGGAAATAACGGAAAATCCGCCGATAATCACAGTGTAAATAATTGTTCAACAATTTAATAAGTATGAAAAACGTCGTTCAGCATTATATCATGACTCAGTTAAAAATTGTATTTACTGATAAGGTCATTGAATCGACCATAGAACTTAGAACTTAAAAATGTTGACCTTCAACGAGAATACTGATATTCTTGTTTCATCAACTTGTTTGTCAATAAATTACCTCATTTTAGAAATTGTTCATACGTAGAGCATGTTCTTGTGTATCGAATACATGTATTTCCAGATGGCATTCAGGATTCTATTCAGCGGCAAAGAGAGACAAAAAAACCCCTGCGAAAAAGAAATATATATCAAAATTAAGTAGAATAGAGAACATTATTCAAGCAATACAACTAATGAGCAAAGCAAACATACACTTGTAGGCCTCTTAAAACTTCAGAGGAGGGATCAGGTGACATGGAGGAATAAAAATTCCTTCTCCAACCGGTGACGTCCGCCGTTTGCCCCTCATCATGATCGGAAACAATTCTCTTTAAATTTCATTAAGCAAGCATTTATTTAGTAAAAATAGGGGGGAAAAGGGTTTTAACATACTTGAAGTAAATCATACATCAGTTCTCTGGTATAATAAGGACTGACAACCACGTCTGTTCCTAACTGATTTTCTTTGTTGCTAAGTTTATGCATGGATTTGTTTTTCCAACAGTTGAGTCGGCACAAACTTTGATTAGGGGAGTTCAAAAATTAATGTTTGTTTCATGATGTCAGATATTGATAACTTGCTTCGACACTAGAAGAATTGAAAAATGTCATGAAAGAGTACAAGTGGTGAGAATATTCTCCTGCTCTAGGACCTTTCTCAATTTTGAAAGTTTATAAAAGTAAAATGTTGCTGTTTATATCATATTTTAATTTACAGATTTGGTTCCTTTATTATATTGAACCACCGACTAGACTTACCTTTCACTTAAATTAATAAAAAAAAATTACCTCACATATGCATATGACTTGTACTCTGCATGCCAAGATATCGTGGAAAGACTTAATTTTGCAAGCAGTTAGCTCTTCGCCATTATGTCTTCTTATCGTTTACGTGTGTCAGGTGGATTTCAAATAAAAGTGTTTGTTGGGGCATACATGTATCATTTTCCCTCGAAATGTTCAATTTTCATATAGAATTGGATAAAACTCAATTTTAAGAATTATAATATATTTTTTTTTATTTTCGAGTCAATCAAATCCTTTATGTATAATAGAGACTTCAACCATTCATATTTGAAACATTCACCGCAAAATTTGCTAAGCTGAAATTGCTTTAAAAAACAAGATAAAATCAGTCAATAAGTAAATCAATAAAAATGAATCAAAATTGTTAATGTTGATTTGATTAACAACAAATTTTCGGAAATTATATCTTTTCCATGAACATTTCTTTGATGAAAATTTAAAGATATTTCGCATTAAAACGCCTTGTACGCCCCCTTTTCATATACATACCTCATGGTTACCGAGACGGCTGAATACCAGGACAAAATGCACGTACGAACAGCACTAATAATGATTATAATTACTAAATTAGATTTTACATCATTATTCTTTATTATAAATGAGACAAAATTGATTCCCCTCTTTTAAATGATCCTTACTTTAAAAATGCTTTAAAAGAGTCTAATATACAAAATAAGGAATTTTCAAAATTGAGAAGAAAATCTTATCAATAATCATATGATCACCATTGAAATAAAATCAAATAAATCTTGTAAAGGAAGCTCTTTTTGTTTTACTTCTGGAATTATATATCACAAGAATAATTTTAAAATAAAAAAAAGAGTTGTAGGTTTACAAGTAAATGGTACGCTGAATAGTTATTGTTTCATGTAAATAAGCACAATTAGTAATGTGCAGACTAAATACATGTTAATAGATACATGAACAATTTCAGGATTTTTTCTGCCTCCAAAATTACAGTAGAACGTATTATACTTGTATTACACAAAACAAAAACCTGAAGCTAGCATGCAGGACATCATCTCTATATTCTATACAAAATTGTGAAATACATACCATGACCTTGATATACAAAATTATTACTAAATTAAAAAGCAAGGCATCTAAATGTTTGAACCGATAAATGAATGCAACGTTAAGTGAGTCGTTACAATTTCAATGAAAACCTGAAAATTGTGCTTACAGTATTCGGAGGATTAAATTTCAAATTTCTTCTATGTGTGTTATGCTTGAACTAACAAGAGACAATGAACATCGTTTTTTGAAGGTTTGTTCTTTAGTTCAATTTGTGTTAATTCATATTTGCCATCATCAACAAATCCTCGCGAATATACATCATTTCAGCTCAGTGTATAAAGCAAATATAAAACAAATATAAAATCACAAAATATAGATATTCATCCTATCTCTCCTCACCCCTTTCTCTATACTATTGGAATGAAATGAAACATTGAACAGCAAAAATGAAAAAAAATCGCCATGGACATTTTCTTATTGATACGTACCTTTAAAACAAATAAAAAAAACAGGGAGAAGAAAAAGAAAAGTGATATATGTAGTAGTACTACCCAAGTGAGTGAAGTTAGAATGTAAGATTACATTTGTAAACATTGTTTTCTACTTCCAGTGAGACATTGCATGCATTTTCCTTGAGTTTTTGTTAAGGATATTTCTTTAAACAAAAGAATGTTAAGCAAAACCAAATCTGAAATTGGATTCCAATTTCTATAACTAATCAGTATTGAAATATATATGCATAAACAAAATCAAATGTAATTGAATAAATAAAATTCTTACCTGTTTAAGTTCTATCATTTATCACAAAATTTGTTAACCGGAATATAATAAAAATTTGATAAAAATTTAAAAAATATGCAATATACTGAAAATGGGGGATAAAACACACTTTAAGTTTTTGAAAACGAAGTCAATACGTTAGAACATGTAAAATCTTACCCAGAACATTGGAATAATAATAATTTCAGTAATAATTAAGAAATATGCTGCAAAATGTCATGAGGATAAAACACACTTTATAGTTTCTGCTCCTAAACATCAAGTCAAAGTCTCCATCTTACCATCTGAACTTTAGTGACACCATCATTAGTGAGGCAACTGGTGTTAAGGATCTCGGTGTATAGTTGATGTCTCTCAGCTTGCTTAAGCAAATTTCATCCATCCGCGTCTCCTGCATGCTACTACAAACGGCCATTGAATTTTGCTCTTATGTTGTCTAAGCTCGTCTATGCTAATTGCAGTGCAATTATATTACCCGTACCAGAAGGAAGCACATTACTCCTATTCTTATGTTTAATTGGCTTCCAATGAGAAACGCATCCAGTATAAAAACGAAACTATTTAAAGCTAAATGCATGGCATCAAAATACATTGTAGAGCTCATCAACATCTATGAACCTGGTCGTTCCCTTAGATCAGCAAACAAGCTGATACTGCAAAGACCGCAATGTATGGCAACAGACGTTTTAATGTGGCTGTGCAGCATCCCTCTGGCCTTATTACTTTCATATCTGCTTTCATATCCATCTATTCACACTTTTAAAAATATCTTAAACCCATTTTTTATGGAGAAATTTGATTAAATTTTCATCTTTGGTGTGTTATTATAGACTTTTATTGAATTGTGATTTATACAAGAGCATTTGTGTAACTCTTAAATAAGTTATCTAATATCAAGATTTTTTTCTTCTCAACTGTAATTATATTTTTTTTCTTGTTTTAATACTTGATATTCATCACATTTTTCTACTTTTTAATTTTTTTTTAATTTTATAAATCCCAAATTTTAATATCCTATGTCATTCAATATTTTTTTTTGTTCCTTATATTGTCTTCATATTTTTATAAATGTATATTTTCTTTGCTGTACACCACTTTAGAATGATTGATTTTTTAATAAATATATATATAAGGCGTTTTATTATTAGTTACTACCACTACTACTACAAATAATAATGGTCTGGGGACTTATTATCTTCCTTTGATATTGTTTAATCAAAACAATTATAATACAACAATATTGCTTTTGATAAAGTATTGTACAAATGAAATCTTACCTGAAGGGTAGGTAATCCTCTCGAGGTGAATCATTTTTTTTTCTTAACAAGAAAAAGTCACGATTAAAAAGATAATGAATCGAGTCGGATCGCTTTTATTGACGAACAATTTGTCAAACTATATTAAATTAATTAATTATAGTTATTTTATTCCTATTATAAAGGGTTTTTTGCTGTTTGATCTATCAGTTTTATTAGAAAAAACGACCCGTTTCCATAAATCGTCTTATGTGATTGATCGATAAAGGAGCTCTCTCTCTCTCTCTCTCTCTCTCTCTCTCTCTCTCTCTCTCTCTCTCTCTCTTCGCTTTTAAATAGCTTTCGTGATTTCCATTTTAATAAAGATTTTCTTTTTCATTCTTACCTGAAGGATAAAATAGCATTCTCATGAGTTTCTTTCCAGCATTTAATCATTCAGTCTCTAGGATTGATAAATATCGAAAAACACCGTACATTTAACTACTTCCACTTGGTCAAAATCCGCGGATTAACGTTTTCGGTTTAGGATACACAATTCTGCGCATTTTCGTGCAGCAAACAAAGTTCATTATGGTGATAAAAGTCAGTCATATGCTGAAATATGTAGAGATAACGAACAGTATTCGAACATACATTGTTTTTTAACTACCATAAAATGTAATGAGTAGTCAAACAGTCACTACCATATATTGTGTATCACTCCATTGCCATTGACAGTCAACGACATCAAAGAGCCTAAATAGGAACAGCTAGAAATCAGTTTGTTTCGAACTGGGTCGGTTTAGCTCGACTCCATATGAGATAGATTCGACATACATAATTTTGCATACTGCTTGATAAACCTAATTCTCTTATTGCTATATTTCATTTCTATCCATATTTCACAAAAATAAATAAATAATGAAATGAAATAAAAATAAAACAAAAACATATAAGTAAATAAAAATCTCTCGCTCATGTGTAACCTAAAACTTTATTTGATTAAATAATTCATGTTTTTTTGTTCTTTTTGTGTAAATTTGGATTCATTATGTAATGTAAACATATAACTGATATCATATTTGTTAAAAAAATATAATTTTAAGGGATCAGATTTTTTACTAATAATTCTTTATATTTCCTTATAAAGATTAACTTTATCGGAAATAAACATGTACAACATAATTGATACAGCAAATATAAAAATAAGTTTTGATATTGTTAAAAAAATAAAAAATGTCTGCGATAACTTTTTAGATTCTTTCCTTGAAGAACAAAGTTATATGATAACACAAGTTTTTATTTCAAATTAAGCCATCAACAAACCTAAACTTTTTCATAGTGATACTGATTATTTTACAAACTTTAGGAATAACATGTACTTGAAAACTTAACGCACTGCGCAAGTAAGTATCTACAATGTACAAGCTATTATTAATTCGGGAACGGATCAAGAAGTCTATATAGCTACACCTGTTCGGTGAAATTCTCTAAAACGTGTTTAAAAATAAGAAAATGGTCAAAATTATTTACCAAGTTTAAAAAGTCACGAACATCTGCGCTTGTTCTTTCCCAAAGCAAATTGCAAAATAAAGCAATCAGACGCTTTCTTTATGTTCTTGTCAAAAACCGATTGAACGTCGGTCAAAAATCAAGTTAAAGGAGTGCCACTGACAATTTATTTTAATTTTAAATTAAGTGCTGGAAAACAATTGCTCAATCCCCTTTACTTAAATTTCAGTCTAAGGTCCTTTCTTGTAAGCTATAGAATGCCTTTTGTAGTTTTGCCAAGTATACCAGGCCTCCAGTAATCATCAATATCAGCCTGGAAGCTCAACCCAACAAAGACTTTTGACAAGAAAATTTATTTTCAATATTAGCAATAATAAGAGACCCCTTTACAGATTTTCATTAAGAAAGAACACACTCCAGCCATTTTCATAGCTAATCACACTTTTTCCCCATGCTTGGGAACAGCAACAGCAATCTTACCTTGCAGGATAAATATGAAGCTTAGTTTAACTCCTTGTTCTGTAGATAATTATTCATACATAAAAAATAAACGATATTAAAAATAAAGATAAGTTGAGTGGGTGAGATTTAGGCGTTTTGATAATTCATGTTTTATTCGCGTTTTCGCCTCTAAAAATAGGTAATGCCTAGGAGTGTTTTTCAGTTCAGACAATTCAGTGTTTTTTATTGAATAAAATAATCATTTTACCTGACGTTTCTCGTATTGGTGTAGTTGCTGTAGTGACGTCACAATTCATGTCCTCTGAGGAGAGATCCCGCAACAATACTCCTGTCAGATTACTCGGGGTTGAACATTTCGGTTCTATGTCATACGGTATGTACGTCAATGTTAACTTCCTTGATTTGGAAAATCTGACAAAATCGGCTAAGATGCAGTCACAGTGCAGAGGATTCCTTTCCACTGACCTTTAACAAATAAAACTATCATAGTTTTAATGTGTGATATCTCTTTTAATTCTGATATATAGATAAAACAATAAAAGTTCTTTATATCAAATCTAAAAATAATATTTCATAATCAACTAAGACCAAAATACATGTTAAAACTATTTTAAGCATTTTCCACATTACCAAAATTGAATTATCTAAAAAATACTCTGCATACTTACAGCGTCTTTAATTTTGGAAGTCCCAAGAACATGTTTTTGTCTAATGTAGTTATGTTATTGCTAAAGATGTGCCTACATAGTAACACATACATTTTTTAACCTGATGATCCACGTTCATTATTCATGAAATAATGTTGAATGAAGTTTACATGAGTGAACAACAGATGTTAGTGAACTTCAAATAAATATTTCATTGTCTTTCCCTGTCTTTGTAAATTGAACTTTCCACCAGAATTCATTTTTCTCTGAGTACACTTCAAACGTTATAGGACTAACTTCTTTTTATGAAGGATATGGAGATAACGAAGAGTATTCAATATCAAAGTCCATAAAACAATACAAAATAAGAGCAGAACAAACACGGACCTCAAAAACATCAGAGGTGGGATCAGGTGCCATGGAGAAGTGAGCATCCCCTGCCGACCGGTCACACCCGCCGTGTGCTCCTGATTATGATAGGGAAATAACGGAAAAATCCATCGCGATCGTCAATTCAGTATATAAATAACGCACTAACAATTAGTATGAGAAACGTCAGTCAGCATTTGACTCAATGATAAATTATATTTGCTAAGAAGGTTATTGTATCGAACATAGAACTTAAAAATGATGACTTTAAACGAGACTGCTGATATTCTTGTTTCATCAACTTGATTGTCAATAATTTACCTCGTTTTAGAAATTGTTCATACGTAGAACATGCTTTTGCATATCGAATCAACTGAGATATATAAACTCTGTATGCAGCTGATGAAGGTATATTGCTGCAAAAGTAGGGAAGTTAACAATAGAAAAGTTAAAGTGATCACGTTTATCATAGAGCTTGGTTGTTAGATTACCATTAACGTTTTCAAGTTAAATATCCAAGTATGAAACAGATGTGTCAGCTCTTGTGGTATCTTTTATCTCAAGCTCACCAGGATATATCGTATCTACATAAGAGTGGATATTACCATTGTTAATTGATAATACGTCGTCGATATATCTAAATGTCGAGTTGAAGGCCACAGCAAGTGTTTTTTTCTCTTCAAGCATAAGATTTTGCATAAATTCTTCATCATATAGATACAAAAATAGGTTTGCTAATAACAGAGCACAATTGGTACCCATGGGAATTCCAAGAGATTGCTGGGAAACCCACATAGATATTGTCAATCAGAAACTCAAGCATCTTTTTGATGTCAACTTCATAGTACTTGTGTGTGCAAATAGAATATATTTTAACAAAATAATTTTGCAAATGACCAATGACCAGGTAAGTAAATATAGGAGTTCCAATGTTATTGAAAAAGCAGCTGTCAAGGAATGGAGTTAAAAACTCACCTATAGTAGCTATTACTTTTCAAATATCTTTCGAGTCATGCTGTTATTCTCACGACCAAGAGGCAATGAATTCAAATTATTTCTACATGTACCGTACATGTATATGTAATTTCTACGGGTCCTTGCTTGATGCCTTGTTTACATGTTTTAGACTGGTCACTGTTCGTTTTCTTCACCTTTTTCATTGGAGTCCAACTATTGTAGAAAATATTTACAAAATCAGAACTCTTACATGGTTTTTGTACTCTTTCTGCAATGTTGTAACCCTTAGTTGCCGTATGATACGGCGAAGAGAGCATTTATGAAACTGAAAGAGCTTCTATTGTTCTTTTTAAATTAAATAATCGAGACATTTTTTTTCTTGACTTTTTTCAGGCTATTAGGACCAATTAACAACTAGCTTAATTGTATGACAAAGCAATGACTTCATCTTTTCTATACTTAATGCTAACTGTGTTAATGTCAACAGTTAATGTTTCTATAGTAAGTAAAATGCACTTGATGAATTATTTTTTTAGCGTTTTCCGTAAGTAAACTGCATTTGTAGTTGAAAAGTCCAATAATAGTGTGCAAATTCTCATCTCTCTATCGCTGAATATAAGGAAGAAAGTATGAACTTCCCGAAAAAATTTGGTCGCACATCCTTAATTTTTGGAATTAAAACACCAATTTATTATTCCAGAATTGCAACGTTTTTCCTCTTTCTAAATTTAGCTGACAACCACATTGGTATGTTAATTCATTAAAAAGGACTTTTTATAAAAATTGAGTCGTAACTTAAAAAAACACATTGTCACTGCAAATTCTTTGTAGTAAATTGCTGCCAGAGTTTCATTTTGTATACCATGACCCTGTTTCTTTACAAAATGTCTTTCAGGAATTGTCCTTATGTCTGTATCTTAATGATCATAAGTCCATTTCGCAGTGCATCTACAGGAGTCCTTCTTCTAGAATTGCGCCATAAACATAAAAGCATGGCGTTATCGTTAAATCCCAAATCATATGGATTTGTGCTGTTAATAATTTGAACATTTGTTGTGACAAAATCAGCACATCTCCTTGCAGTTAACACTGACACATTGCCTATGGACCTTGATATTCACTGGATATGTTTATGAGCCCGTTAACAATTTTTTAATGATAAACATTGATAACTTTGTTTATGGAATATTGACCCATTGAACAATTTTGTACTGGTTTGATACGGATAACATTGTAAGCTTGATATATGTCCATTTATACTGATATTGCGCCCCGTTGTGCAATCGAAAACTTACTTTACCCAGTACACACTTTAGCCCATCTGGGGTGGCCATTTTTGGTGTTGATTATTGGGAAAACGATCCAGCGGCTACTCCCAATAATGAAGGTACGGTCTGGGCTTTATTGCGCCATTAAAGGACAACGCATGGTAACGGCCGAATTTGGCTCCTTATTTGATGTAAAAATCAGAACACAGTTAAAACTGTTGAAGTTTGTAGTTAAGAACTGAAACTGATGCTTGTTTTAAAACCAGCACTAATTTTGATTCAAAGCTTACAAGGAGGTCAAAAGAGGTGCAAAACTGAAACAATTTCCCGAATTTCCTCAATTCTAGTGGAATTTCGACGAATTTGAAATAATTTTCACTTTATAAAAACATATTGTCTATATGTTTATATATATAGTGTATGAAATACATATCTTTATAAATTTGGTTGATAGGCAAGGTTATGCTCTATGTTTTCTGAAACAATTTGCAAAAAAGTATTTTAAAAATATTTTTAAAAATCGGAAATTGATATATTTTCCGACCTTCCTGTGATGTCTGTGTATCCCATAATTTAGAAACAATACTCAGTTTGTGGCAGGGGTGACAACAGGTTTTCACTGATAAACTGTCGCATTGTTCTAAACGACACCTTAAACAAGGGGGGGGGGGGAGAGTCTTAGCCTATCTTGTCCTTTAATGCATTCTAAATGAAATCGGCTTAAAAATTAGTTGAGAATATGGGTGTGATATATCATTTAAGAATATGGCACGAAGGAGGACCATTCTAGAAATATGACGTTATCAATTTGGTACATTTCTAAGTTTTAAACGAAAAAGCCTCAGAATGACTCATTTCAGGGGTTATCTCCCTTAAGAAAACGGTGTTCACAGTCTTTGCCCACTTCAATTTTTGGATATGTTTTGTAAAAAACGTTGAAAAATCGCAATTCTAAAAATCTTAAAATTCTTAAAAGGAGCGATACATGTGCTCTGTATTATCTGAAAGACAATTCTACTGAAAATTGATGTCTTCTGCAACTATATAAGAAGATATGGAAAAATATCCAAGTTCATGACAACACTATTAGCATTTAGGAGGTCATACGAAAAAAAAAGTTGTATATTATTAATTACTGCATGAAATTTCAATGACTCAGAAAGGGTGGGTTTTAACATCATATCCATATTTTAGAAAAATACAGGGCCAGATTTGTATAAAAACTGTTCCTTGTTCTTTTACTTGTACTTAGTATATTAATATCCATGACGCCACAACAAGATATGCAAAACATGATAAAAAAAATATATTAAGCAATGAATAAATATCTTTAGCAAGAAGTATGTTAGTTCTTCCTAGTATTTGAGATATTCGGACATACTCACAGTGTATTGAAACAAGTACTCAAATGAAATCTCAAACTGATTATTGATTAAAGACTATACTTGAGTTTTACGTAAAATAAGTATACGTACACAGCATCATACTGAGTAAAGCTTATTAATACTTACAATTTGCTTAAATTGTATAAGCCGTTAAAAGAATCGTCCTGTATTGTTGTGATTTTGTTTTCGAAAAGAGATCTATCAAAAGAATATTGTTGGCTTAATGCAGACATTTATAGTAACATTACAACAAAATTTTATGATAATCATGATGTTTGGTATAAAAGGAGCACACATCGAGTTTGACCGGTCTGCAGGGGATGACAATTCCCCTTGGCACTTGATACCACCTCTTATGTTGAAGAAGTCCGTGTTTTCTCTTTTCCTGATCTGATTTTTTAAAAGGTCTTTTGAGCTTGAATACTCTTCGTTAACTCTATATATTTCATGGTGCAATTTTTTTAACATTCATTGACAAAATAGAATTATCCGGTTAATTAAAATGCTTGTATTGAATCTGCTGGTTTCCGTTGTTAATTTGAAATTGATGTGTCAATATTTTTTTCTTAAGGTACACTCCTGGTTTCCCTAACATAAATGGGCCAACAAAGGGTTCATTCTATTCGTAGACAACATTAGAAGATTTCCGGTTGAGTTTTGGTATAGAAGTTGTAAGATTACTAGTGAACGAAAAGTTTGTTATAAAAACCTCATAGGTTTTACAGTTTTTGACAGAGCATTTTGAAATCAAACAGATGGGATCGGAAAATGAATCTTTCAAATATTCATCTTTAAATATAGGGCATATGGTGTTAACCTCTCCCAACTTATTCGATATTCAAGTTCAATTTTTAAATCGAGATATTGTAGTGAACAGATAAAGTGATGTTACAGCGAATTCAGCAAGCTCGTTTGAAGTCGGCATTTTATTAGGGTTATTATAGAGACCTTATTACAATGTAGCTAATAAAGTCGTATTTTCTCTTACATGTTTCAAATCAATGGTTAGGCCTTCGTTTTCATACTAAAGATTCTTTGACAACCAAATGGTTCCGTTTACCTGATCAGTAATAAATCTAACGAAGGGTGTGACTGGTCTACAGGTAATGCTTACTCCTACAAAAATTTCTTTGTTTTTAATTTTAAGTTCAATCACTATACTTACAGTGTCTTTAAATTTGGCAATTCTTTAAATACATTGTTTGGTATTGCGGATATCTGGTTTCGGTACAGAGATCTAAAATCAAGTTTGAAGATTGAAAATAATATACAACAATCAAGATTCAATTAGATATCATAAGTATACGAATTCCTCACTTGACACACGGAATGTTAATTGAAAACACATTATCGTTTTGATAAATAATTAATGAGATTACGCATAGAATAAAACCTTTTATTATATAGCTAAAAAAATAGTCTATAATAAAAAAAAAAACTACTAAAAATCTAGAGAATTTTAGCGTTCAATATCTTAGCGTTTTATTTAATGCTGATATGAGTATGCCCGAAACATTCCGAATACGAACGTTCAATATCGAACATCTCTTTGTAGGCAATAATGTCGTCTGTTTAACCTCTCAAAAGCAAATGTATGACACTGGTAGCTAGGTAAGATGTGTTTATTTTCACACATATTTAAAACTATTAATTAATAATTTAGTAAGTATTAGCCTCAATAATACCTCAATAAGCAGATCATAACGCTTGGAAGGATCATTGGAATGATGCAATATTGAGCATTTATAGGTCAGACGTTAATTAAGGTCTTCCGTTTCCAATGGAAGACCTTCTACTGATTCTGTTGGTAAAGATTATTAAGGTCTTCCGCTCAGGCGGAAGACCTTCTACTGATTCTGATGGTTAAGATTATTCCTATTAATCTTTTTTTTTCCTAGACGCCAACTTTGAGACCTTGTAACTCGCTCATTTCTTAACGGATTTCGCTCAAATTTTCAGAGTTTTTGGACGTTACAAAACTCAATTTAAATGTTTTCATACATATCAAAAATTCCCTTCCGCTTTTGAGTTATTTCCCTTTAAATTAAAATTTGGTGCTGTTTGTTTCCAGACAAAGGCTCAGAAACGACAAAAGCTGGAGCAGAATGTCTACTGCATTTAAATACTAGAAGAATTGAAGTTGTGCACATCGGTTTTTCTTTTTCGATTTCTGCGCTCAAAACGGTGCTAGATAGGGGTCAAAAATAAGAATGCCTAAAAGCCCAAAAATTTACATCTATTTCCTTATGGATCTTTTAAACTAAAAATAATTTGTTAAGACAAGTTTTACAAATATAGTGCATAATTTTAAGATCTATCATTTGACATCATTAAAAAGGGGCTGGCCCCTCAAATTAGGGGCCAAGGGTGCTCGAAAGTTTTTGCATTATAACTTAAAAACGGTAAATATTTCGATATGGTTATCGATTTGAAATGGGTTCTTTAGGATCTTATTGATCTCTTGAAAACGTTATTTTGTTCTAGTCATGTTTTATTAGATGAGCAAAAAACTTTATAGTCCGTGTACATGTAAGTGATTTTATACGGCAAGTGAAGAAGAATTCTATATGCGTACGCGTATAACACGTATGACTGAAATTAACTGGATAAGAATAATATATACCTAGCTAAATTGAATGTTAAACTTTGTTGAAATAAGATTTTTAACGTATTCTCTAGCTGGATGTCATACAGATTATTCAGAGACAACTTTCTCCCTGTGTTTAGTGTAAAGAATAAGACGGGAGAGAGGAAAAATATTTTTAAGTATTAATATTCAATGAAGCATTATTTATTTATAAAAAAAAATCAAGCTTAAGATAATTCACTGTCATTCAATTCATGCATCGTGAATTTTCCTCGGACCCTGAAAGTTTCGTGTGTACAGTGTGCGTGTTTTGTGTGTACAGTTATCACATGGTCATGAAACCCGTTTATCGATCCCGCATTAAACTGTATACATTCGTGAGGTCAACATTACCGCTCTTTGATTTTTACTAGAGTCCTAGATTTAAGATCAAGAAAAAATGTCATTTGCGCTAATCGTAAGAATATTTCTATACACAAATTTTAAGGTTTTCTTGAACATGATTTAAAAGTGTTGAATGTCGGATTCTATTCTTTGACGAATGAATAGAAGGGGCTGCGTTTACACGCGCTTTTCTCATCTGCTGAGGTATCTATGGACGAGTTCATCGGTTACACTGAAGGGTGACACAGGACGACCTATCGATAACTCTGCCAATTTTGATAGTGATTTTAATTGCACATGTACCATAAACATGATAACTTAATGTTCAATTCTACCCTTGTGAAGTCCATTATAGTCTCGTTATTTAAAAAAAAAATTGGGGATATCAATACTGCAACTTATTTTTGATTTGTGCGGATGATTCTTTTATTGGAAAGGTACACACGTAGTACGACGATTTTTTAGGCCCCGTCTCCCCCTCCACTTTGAAGTAATTGCAATCGTTACATGTATACGGGCCTATATCAAGTTATTCTAATTGCTTTATATCAGAAAAATTTGCGATGTTGTTTAAATTAACAAATACCTATAAACATTGCACAGTAAATTGTAAGTGGAAGTGACGTTTCCAATTCTCATGAAAATCGTAAATGAAGCAACTTTAAGATTTGCATGAATTGATACATAACTTATAATTGCATTGTACCGAATGTATTCCTTTTATTTCTTCGAATAAAAAGAATATCACTATGACACGATTTTACGGGTACATGATGGTAACTAAATACATGCTGTTTTACACGGAAGAGTCCCCCCCCCCCAATATATACATTCCGAGCTTTCAGAATACGAGAGAAAGAAATGAATAATTAGAATTTTTTTTTTAACAAATTCAAAATTGTTTCTGAGAAAGCCATGTAGTTGCATACAAATATTCCAAGCAATTTTTTCGTGTTTATTGGACTAAAAGAGACAATTAAATTTCCTCTCATCGCGATACGTAACCCCCTTTCCCTCAAATGATACGTTTTCCTTCAGAGTCGAGAATGTCAGTTGGTTAGTTTGTTCAGGTACGTACAGGTCAGGACTGGTGTTGAAATCCATGATTAATCCATAACCTATTACAATGTTAACCAACAATCATACGCGACTTTTTTTTATTCACAGGTCGTCAAATAAATGAAAAAAAGATTAGTATTCGTCACTAAACTTTCCTATATATAAACGTTTTAATTTCTTAAATTTGTGCCGATTAAAGTGTTCATTCGAGCATCGAAGTGTATGCATGTATTAGTTTCTTTGGGTAAGGGGGGGGGGGGGGGTACAGTTTTTACTGCGTTTGATTTCCGGAATTTTGCAATGCTTTTCCGACACTTAATAATTTCATTTCTAACATTGAATTTCATTTTTTCATTCTGGATTTTTACACTATATATTTCAAGCAATTTAAAGTTAACAAAGAAGATGGAATCATTATTATAATAGAATATATTTGGTTAAATTAACACAAGTGAACTTGTGATGAAAATTTATTAAACGAAAGTCAAGCAATAAAAAGTTAAAGTTTGTTTTTTGAAAAATAAATCAAATCAAGTCACAGAAAACAAAGACAGGTTGTAAAGCTCACACACCGACATACACACAAACGTTTTGGTAACTCGGAATAGTCCAGAGTAAAACTATATTTTCTTGATGACGGAATGTCCTGTACATCTAATGTTCACGTCCGGGATAGTCCACGGCGGATCTAAAAACTCTCTCACACAACATACGGGATTCACTCAAATTTCAATTAACACATTTACGCAATTTATATCATACATACAAGTCAGACGCTCTTTGATGTAGAGGATTGACACTAATTTCTTAAATAAATACTTAGTGACAAATTCCTTTTTATTATTTAAACTCAAATTGATATGTTAATAACTTAAGCATATGTCAAAAATAAGCATTAAAATAATTCTTTTCATAAAATTAAATTTTGTTTAAACAATATAAATCACTAGCAGCACAAAGACAGACTTTAAAAAAAAACAGAGGTGGAATCAGGCGAATTAAATCCTTTTATGGCACCACCAACCCCGTAACAAGACATCTCATCGAAATGACCGGTCTCCGCGTCTTGAACCTCCAAGAACATGTATTGCATGTTCTTGAATAATTTGTATTAATAAGTCTTTAAAGAAATCTCATGTAGGAAACCTGATTTATATTCTAATATATTCTATTGTGTAATTTTTTTTAATTAGTTGTACTTCTCAATCTATCATGTTCAAATTACATGTATTTATTTTTTGGGGAACATTAAACCTTATTCGTCAGCCAGTCTGTCCATCTGTCACGAGAACTTTAAACTTGATAATAACTATTGAATGAGTTGAAATAGGACTTTGATATTTCACGTGTGCATTATTTGTGACATCTGATTTTCAAATATACTGTGATTTTTGACCCTGTGACCTTGATCTTGGAGCTTGACCTACTTAAAAAAAATAACATTACTTTAAATTGACCATAACTTTTAAAAGCTTTAATTTAACAAAAATGTATTAACTGTGACAACACCTTTTAAAATTCACTAATTTTTTACCCTTTGACCTTGAAGTTTGACCTGCTTTTCAAAAACATTAACAATACTCATACCTTTTGACTGAGAAGAGATAGGGCTTTTATTTTATACCTATGAATTACCTATGACATCACTTTTCTAAACACACTGACTTTTGACAACTTGACCTTGAGGCTTGATCATAACTTTTTTAATGAGGAGAGATAGGGCTTTCATATTACACAAATCACAATGTCACGTAACCTGTGATAAAATCATATCAAATACTAGTATTTCATGAACTTTGACCTTGAAGTTTATCCGGCTTTTCCAAAATTTAAACATTGCTTAAAATTGACCAGAACTTTTTACACATGTGTATTAGCTGTGACAAGGCCTATCTAAAAAAAGGTATGGCTTAAATCATGGAGAGTGTGTTATGACCTTAAATCAAGGTCATTTAGGATAAGATATTTTGACTGGATGCATTGTTTGAAAAAAAACATGTGTGAATTTGTCAATACAGTAGCACACAAATGGGGTATGCTCATCACCATCTTGTGTCATGGTGTGACCCAAGGTCATTTTGACAAGGTCAAGGTCGCAAACATTCCTTTACTATCACTTTTTTAATAGTAAAACATAATAAGATGATATCTACCCTTAAAAGTTTGCTTTATCATTAGAACGTGGCATGACCTTGACTCAAGGTCATTTCTCTCTGTCTGTAGCTCCGACGGAAGACCTACTCGTTGCTTTGCAACGAGGTCGGCTCTAGTTATTCTTTTTTTTTTCTTCTACTTCCTAGACGCCAACTTTGAAGCCTCATATCTCACTCATTTCTCAATTGCTTTCCCTAAAATTTTCAGAGGTAAAAGAAGTTACTAAACTCTATCAGAATGCTGTCGAAAAGTTCAAAAAGTCACTTCCGGTTTTGCGTTATTTCCCTTTAAACGAAAATTTATAGGCTTTCGTTTCCAGACAAAGGCTCAGAGATGGCTAAAGCTGGAGCAGAAATTCTACTGAATTTTTATAATAAAAGGATTGAAGTTGTGCACATCGGTTTTTGTTTTTTCGATTTCTTTATTCAAAATGGCGCTATATAGGGGTCAAAAATTAGAACGCTTAAAAGAGCCAAAAATTACTCATATTTTGCTTTTTATCTTCTAAACTAAAAATATTTTGTTAAAATATATAGAACAAAATTTGTGCAGAAATAGAAGATCTTTCAAATGATATCTTGAAAAAAGGGCTGACCCTTAAATTTAGGGATCTAGAGGCGCCAAAAGTTTTTTCCATATATCTCAAAAAGTATTGAGAATTTGTTATACATCAAAGAAGCAAAGTTGTTGAAAATCTCTGGTAAAATCTACTGATGTCATCAAAATACGTCCTGTGACGTCACTTCCGGCCAAACCGGAAGAAGTCCGAAACTGCATATTTTTGCCGTTTTTGACATGTTTTAGGGAAATATTTGTCACTGGAAGCATAAAACTTAATTTTCCGTCCGTCGACGTCACTTCCGGTCAAACAGGAAGTAGCAAAATATATCTTACTTTTGCAATTTTTAACATACATTAGAGACGTCATTTCTCTCTTTTTTTTTTAATAAAATTTACTTTCGGTCTAACAGGGCGGAAGACCTACTCGTTGCTTTGCAACGAGCTTTGCTCTAGTTTAAATACCGATACTGAAAATTCTTCTTAATTTTTATTCTTCATTTGTTTTCTTTTTCTTATGAAATAATGCATCTTTCTACCATAGCATTTTTAAATATTCTTAGACTTTAATCGACACCTGATATTCTTGTTTCATCAACTTGTTTGTCCATAAATTTTCACTTGTTTTATAATTCCCCTTACGTAGACCATGCTCTTGCGTATCGAATCAGCTGAGATATATAAACTCTGTATGCAGGTGATGAAGGCTTATTGTTGCATTAGTAAGGGAAGTTGACAATTGGAAAGATAAATTAATCACATTTATCATTAAGTGAGCTTGAAATAAAAGACACCATCTGTTTCATATTTGGATATTTTACTAGAAAAAAAGTTAATAGTAATCTAAAATCCAAGCTTTCTGATAAATGAGATTGACTTTTACTTCTCAATCGTCAACTTCCCATGCATATGCACTTTACACCTTTATATCTCTTAGTTTATTTGATACACTAGAGCATGGTTTATGTATGAACAATTTCTACAACAAGGTAAGTTATTGAAAAACAAGTTGGTGAAACAAGAATATCAGCAGCTTAAAGTCTTCATTTTGTGAGTTTTATGGTCGATAGAATGACCTTCTCAGCAAATATCTTTTTTGTCAAATCCTGACTGCGTTTTTTTTATAAAAAAATGTTAGACCACTATTAACACATTGAATTGCAACGTATTTTCCCGTTATATCCCGATCATGACTAGGAGCACCGGTGGGTGTGACCGGTCGGCGGGGGATGCTCACTTCTCCATGGCACCTTATCGCACCTCTGATGTTTTAGAGGTCCGTGTTTGCTTTGCCACAAAATTGCATTGTTGAATTGACTTTTGAGCTTGATAACTGTTTGATAGACATATCAAAAATATATCAAATAATGAAATTATTTTATCGACACTAAGTTGTCTTGTATCATTTCATTTACAATAATAATAATAATACAATGTTGTCATAACTAAGTTAAGAAGTATCATTATATTTAATCACATAATGCTTCAAACGCTAATCGGTGTATTTGGTAGCATAAATTTACGTACAAAAATATGTTTTGAAAAACAATAATTATCAATTGAATCGTGAAAAGAAATCCGCCCTTTTTAACTACAATTGAAATATTTTAGCATGTTTTTGCTTATCATTTATTAAATTGATTTTATCCATAGCATTTTCTTATGAAGAAGAAATGAAAGATTCTTGTTGCTTCTTTATCACGTTGGCATATATACGGTAAGAATCACAAACTTGAATGTTAATTCGTTGGTCAGTACGATCTCCAGAAAAGGTACACAAGATTTACACAACGACAGAAAACTAAATATCAAATCAGAGAATCAAATCCCAGGCTTAATTTCAGCAATCTTGTTTAAAGTCAACATGAGATAAATTATACCGTCGCCCTATTCACCTTCTCCACAATATATTCTACCATTTGGTCAATTTGTTTCATACCAATTGCTAGGCTTCTGTTTAAATATTGAATGCCCACTTGATCAATGATTAGGGCTCATGGTGGCTGTGGGATGTAGTATGCTTACACTTCCTAGGTACCTTATCCCACCCTTTAAATTTTCAGGGACTCGTGTTTTACGCCCTGTTCTCAAATTTATAATATTATCTATAGAAATTTGAAATGAGAAAGTGATGTCAATAGTATGGATGCAAGAAAATAAGTGAACTTTAAAGGTTGCAGTAGAAAAAAAACAATCAGCTGAATTCAGCTAACATACATCCATATCCTTGTTTTCATTATATAATTGGGAAAACGTTTGGAGAATATCTGTTACAGTTCCTGTTAAAATAAGTACTACTTATACTTACAGATAACTTAAATTGTGTAAGCCGGCAAAAGCATTGTCCTGTACTGTGGTAATTCTGTTGTTGGAAAGAACTCTACAAAAAGAAGAACAGAAATTTCAGGGTATTTAGTCGTTTTACAATCAATTTTACCGTTTAGAATTCTTGATCTTCATCTTAATCTTTAAAAAAAACGATAAATGAAACCTTTTAGTATTGAGATCGGTCATAGTCGCAAACCACGGCCAAAGTGTACTATCTTCTCCCACTCTAGTCTACTCCCTCTCTTGCCGTGGTTGAATGAGAGAAGAATATTTCGTAGCTCATTAAATATTGACCAATGGGAGTAAATTGATTGATTGTATACTGTTTATAACGTCCCTCTTCAGAATATTTCACTGATATGGATACGGCACCATTGCCGGTGAAGGGCTGCAAATTTAGGCCTATGCTTGGCACTTACGGCCTTTTAGCAGGGAGGGATTTTTTTCGTGTCACACCTGCTGTGACACGGGGCCTCAGTTCATGCGGTCTCATCCGAAGGACCGCCCCATTTAGTCGTCTTTTACGACAAGCAATGGGGTACTGAGGAGCTATTCTAACCCTCATCCCCACGGGGGCCAATTGGAGTAAGCATAATCGGATGATTATCTTTGTCGGGACCTTTTAATATCCAATCGCAGTATACGAAATATTTCTTGTACACTGTTGATGTCAATTGTTGACTTCAATGGCGATGGGAACAAATATTGTCATTTACTGAATATGACGTCACAATAGAAACGCGTAAATATTCAAGATTTCGACACTTTTTGTGATCAAGCAGGCACGGGTAGGAGAGAGCTAGATGCGAACTCCAGACCGTGGCTTGAGAAGATGGAGATCTGTCAAAGCATGAAAAGGTCATTGCCATGAAAATTTAACCATATATACTGAAACATGTATCGCTAATCTGCAAATATTTTTTTCTTAATTATCAATAGACAACAAATTATTGAGGGGCATAAGCTTATAACCATTACTTTTTTGGTTTACAATTTTGATTTCCTTACAAATTTTAATTACTTTAGACGTACTTTTTTCCATGGGTTCATAATTCCGCGGAATCTCAAGTTCTGTTAAATCCACGCGTAGAAAATTACGCGGATTTCTTAGACTGTCACTATATGCCTTACATCTATATTAAGTACGCTTGGACAAATTTTTGCGTAAAATTTGTAACCGCGTACTTAGCGATAATTTATACCACGCGGAAAAAATACAGAATTTGAACCAACAGGATAATCCTGTGTTTGGTAACATGGCTTTGAACCTTGTTATTGTTTATCTTTGACCGGGTGTAATCGATTTGCTAAAACTGCACACATTACCAATACAAGAGACAATTAACACTGATGACAGTCAAACACATTCGTAGGATGAAAATTTTCAAAAAAAAGTTTCTGAACACAAATCATACATCATATATATATAATGTATTAGTCTGAAACGATCTGGAAACATAAACTGTAGACGTACGTGACTTTTTTTCCACGGAGTCATAAGGCGCGATCGCAATATCAGATTAATCAGGTAAAAAATTACGCGGATTCATGTAAAAAAAAAATATAGTCCCTTATATTGAAAAATATGAGAAAAATTACTATTGTTTTGCTCAATGCACCTATAACCTGTGCATATTTGTGTTTTCAAAGATGAACTTCCTGAGTACCATGATCAAATGACTCAGAATAATACGTATGCAGAAGGTTCCCGCTAGCTCGTATCTTGCTAGAAACGATGATTTAATCAAATATATGAAGAACATTTTTTTCTGAGCGTTACACTTCCTGGAAAAATGCAGGCCATAAGCATAATCAACACTGAAGCTTATTTGTGTTGTTGTGGGGTGGCGGATCAGTGTGCTCCAGTCCTGTTCAAACAGAAACCCTTGTTCAAGGATTGGGGAAATCGGGGTTCTTTCATAAGAAAAAACCGACACTTTTTAAAATGGATCGCCTGGTCTTGTGCTCTGAAACGTGACAGAGTTTTTTTTTTTTAGATATAACTGATTTTGGTGTACATTTAAATACGCTTGGACGTATCGTAATTTTCAAACCGAATATTAAATATTTTAAAATATATTTAGTAGCCAAGTTTTGGGTTCACATCCATTTAAACAGCTGTTAATCAGGTCTTGATTAATTCAATCAATTACAAGTCAAAACACAAAGAAATCTGAAAACTGCGGTAAAAACACGGGTCTTAGCGTCTATTTAATTGGAACTGCTTGAGAACAATAGTCGTGTGACAAGTGCCGTTAACTGAAATCGTGGAGGGCGGGGGGAGTTCGAATTTACTGCAAGTATTTTCATAGTCAACAAAAAATAATAATTTTAGTGAAAGAAGTGTCTTCTGTGAATTCTTAAAACACTTTTACATTTTTGAAGTAGTTTGCACCTACAGTGTATTTAGGATAAATATACATGGAAAATATATATGTATACATAATCGTTAATTATGTAGTACCTTTATACCTTCATAAATATAATGCATTTTCATTCTAGATGCACTTTATGTACGCTGTGACAAATTTTCGCGGAAATGTTGTGACCTTGTTCATAGCGTCAATTAATCCAACGCGGAAAAATGTACGTCTACGGTAAATATTTGAATTCTAACGACGATTTTGAAATATAAGTCTGTAAACTTTAAAACTCTGTCCAGACTTTATTTTTTATACATGAAGGGTATGCTATTAACAGGACAGTCCATCATTATAAGTTCTTTAAAGGTGCTTAGACACAGATTTGAACTTAATATTTTCTCAAAATTTCTGTATAATATCATGACTTGCAAAGGTATTTCACACTAAAATAAAATTAATTAAAAACTTATTTTCTCTGAAAATTATTGGAACTACGAATTTCTGGACGCGCTTCATTAGCACATTCTTGCACTTTCACAAATCATATCTTCATCCTTAATATTTCAGATAAGAAGCGATTTTGTTGTGTATTAATTGCATCTATAAGACAGAAAATTCAGAGTAAAAAATGCGAAAGCAAACCCCCTCACTAATATTGTCAGTCCCGTGCTCAGTGTTGTGTAGAGAGTTTAACGAATTAAACACACCCGTGAAACATAGACTATTTTTATAAACAGGGTACGTTCTCTGTTATTTTTAATGTTTACGATTCAACGGGTGTGTTCAATTGTTAAGGTAGAACCTATATCGGAAAAGCCTTTGTCACAAGATTTTCAAACATTTCCAAATGAAAAATTAGCATTTGCTTATCAATCAGTTAAAAGCACATATCATGTTTCCTTGTTATTAAATGAAGGGAAGCCTGTGAAACTTGGAATGGTTATTACCAACTGCGACTTCACATTTTCAATTATTTTTAGGGGTATAAAGAGAATATGAAAAATCTCAAAAATTCTTATCAAAACATCGCCGTTCGTAGACTTTATATACTAAACAGTACTAAAGAGTATTTCTCAAAAATAAATTCTTTTGTTTTCAATTGCAGTACAAGATAAGTCCACATTTTTCAAAGATATAGGCAAATGACTCTATTATTTTTAGTCAATTTTCCACCCTAAACTTGTAAACATTTTTCAGAAGGATTTGTCAGAATGTTTTCAATCTTTCATATGATAAAAACGACAAAATGATTATGAAAAGTGATTAAAGTATTTACCTTTCCCCTAAAACTAACGAGAAATAGGCTATTTACCGATATTACTTTTCTTGACCTTTTTGCACTTACACAGGATTTTATCATTAAGGTAAGTCACTCCTGAAATTTGTTATATCAAGGATTTTTTTAGAAGTATATTTTGGATAAGTACTAATAAAGTGTAACTCAAAATGGCAAAGAAAATAGGGGGTCAGTGTGCATCCTACTGATCTACGGTACATTTTAGTTGACCTTTTTGCACTTAAATTTCATCTCTTTGGTTAATTACTTTAACCCTTATTATATTTGATTAGATGTAAGCATGGCAATAAATATAATCTTATTTTACGTAAAATAGTTTGAATAATATTTATCAATAAACAAATCTTGCAAATTAATGCGCGTAAATTATTATGTGACCTTTTTGCACTAAAAAATAACATATTTTGGGTATTTAAAAACTTAATAGGCAATAAAAAATTTTCTTATATCAAACTTTTTACGAGTTGAGTGCTGATCAGTCACAAGTATCGAGTAGTTTAAAATAATGAAAGAAAAAGGTGGGGTCAGTGATGTTATTTTTGAAATATTTGTCAAAATATGTGATTTTCAGGCAAAAAATGGTGTAAATTTGACCTTGACTTCTTTAAAATATTTTCATTTCTAAAAATATAAATTAAGACCTATATTAAATATTTTTAGCAATATCAAAACGGAAAATATTCTCCGAGTAAAAGTATGTGAGGCTAAATTTCCATTACATTAAATTTTATAAATGTGCAGATTTGCAGAATTTTCTGCTAAATATCCTTCCACCAAAAGAAATAGTCCCTCATAAATCTTTCTTCTTTGTAGATTTCTGAGCAGTTTTTTCATTGCATGTTTAAAAATTTACATTGTTGAATTTAAATATGTTATAAAAATTGAATTTTAATAAGTAGTTTTGAAGTAAAAGCTTCTGCGTGAACTTTTCTAAAAAGCTGACGAGTGACTTACCTTAAATGACTGTTTGGGGTTGCTTTCAGATTTACAATGTGATTATTTATCAGTTATTGAATTTTTCTATTAAAAAGATCATATTTTGATAAATAATTTGTAATCAAACACCGACCATTAGAAATAATTAATACATATTAAAACAAAAAACTATGAAAAGGAATGCACATCATTTCATGATAGACATAAAAAATTATACCCAATCTTCAACACATCTTTGAATAAAGACAAGATACTATACTCTTAAGTTGGCAACTAAAGATTTTTTAAAGGATTTTTGCATTTCCTAAAAATAGTTGCATACCATTTACAAGTTATCGCAATGCAATTTCATTACATGAGAAAGTCTCGGATTTGTCCACTTTAGGTAAAAAAAGGTGCCTGCAGATTTCTCTAATTTGAGAGATATATTAGCTGCAATAATGTAGCCCTCTCCCT